AATCAAAATTCAGAAGATTCGTCGCACGTGGGCCACTTCAAGCAGTGAGGTCCACTTATTTTTTTACCAAGCAAGTTAAGTGAGGTCCACTTAAGATTCCTTTAATTTCGTGGTTACCAACATAAAAAGGGGAAGTAGACTCTCAGGAGGTCGGCTGGGCTTTTTGGGGGATTTTGGTGCTTGTGGAGAAAACCATCAGGAGAAGGAAAAAGCCACGGTTGTTGACATTGGAAAGTGGGGACCATTGCAATTGTCTTCCAATCTTGCTTTGACCGAAATTGAAGGGAGAAAAAAAGGGAATCTCTCGTTTGTTTTGTGAGAGACCCTTAAGAGCCATTATTGTTGACTATTATTAGGGGACTTGGTTTTTGTTTTGACTGGCAATAGTTTTCATAAAGAATTCCTTAGCTTTCGAAATAAGGGGGCGGCAGATGAGGAGTGAGAGAGTCACTTAGGTTGTCCTTTCTTTAAGGAGGGGAGAACCGTGACTCCTAGGGGAAAAACGGCCACTTGGCCCTCCCATTCGCTTTGCTTTCATTAGCTTTAGAGAAAAAGCCAGGAACAATTTTGCAAGCTTGAGACAGCTTTTTCGCATGGTTGTTCTACATTAATGGAGGACTAACCTCCTATTTCTAGTCAAGGGGACAACTGATGAATTGGTTCGGCAATTACTGTGAGATCTAAACCGCTTTTAATTGTTTTTCTCATTTATTGGTATTTATATGTTTCTTGCTTTTAATTGTTATAACCCTTATGTATGATTGATTAGTGCGCAATAATTAATTATTCATATAGGTTATTTTGCTAAATAGGGGTAATTGAATCTGTAATTGTTCGTTATCTCTATCTCAGTAGCAACTGGCGTAATTGAGTTTATGTCAGGGGAATATACGATCTAATTTAAACAAACCCTCGTAGCGTGTTTGTTAGTTAGGATTGGGCCTTTCTAATTATTAATGCAATCTAGAAATTAAATCCTACGGTCGTACCTAGGATTGTTTTTGGGTTAGAGAAATAGTTAACGGTCGTACCTTAACTATCGAGAAATTAAGGAAAGGTTGGTTGTTTATCGCGTGCATGACAACTATAACTAATCTATTAATAAATGTTGGAATTATATTTGAATCGATGATCAGTCGCATGAACTATTTCTGAAGTGTATCCTTGGCTAGAGTTTCTCTAATTATTTCTTTTAATTAATTATTTTCTGCATTTAATTTTTTTAGTTAGCATTTAAGCCCAAAAAAACCCACATTAATCTTTACTTGAAAAGAAACAAATTTCTCGCTAGTCCCTGAGGAGACGACCCTACTTGCCACTGTCTACTAGTTAGTGAATTCAGTTAAATAATTAATTCAGGTATATCGGATTAAGCAAACTCTTCGGGAATAGGGTGAATCAAGTAACCCATTGCACACCTAGAGTCCCTGCTCCAGTACTCGAATTGATTATTGGCTGCTTTAGGTGGTAGTTAGGTTTTATTTATTATTATTGCACATGTTCGGCACCTGTCAAAATGTTTCGGTATATTTGAGTATTACCATGAGGTTGGGAGATTATTGAACTGATTATTGAATGTAGGGGATTGTTTATTATTTTGGAGGACATAAGGAGGTGAATCGGCCGAATGTGCAATGATATTGGAATGAATGTACAATGACAGTGAAATGAGTGTCTCTTGACACTGAAATGAATGCTCAATGACATTGAAATAACTCTAGTGCGAGCACCGTATCTTTTTAAAAGTGATTGTTTAGTGAAGTGTTTTCTCAATTGCTTAATGTAAGTGATCGTACAGTGAAATGTGCACTACTTGCGAGAGATAAGCAGGTGATCCACTAACTCTTAGGGTATGTCCTAGGAGAAGGTAAGGTCGTCACAAAAATTAATTTTTTTAAAAAAATGCTAAGTCCGGCAGTAAAGAATTTTTTTTAAAAAAAAAATGCTGGGCTGCTGGATTGACTAAGCTCGATAGCTACGCTGAATTTTTTTTTTTTTTTTTAAATTTCCGCTCTCTGGCATTCTTGTGATCTAATAAAATGTGCAGTGAATGCAGAGGTACCAAACTCATATAATATAACTAAATGAGAGTACACACTTCACATTCTTTTAATCTCCTCGTTAGTTACCTATCCTTTTAAGAACCAACCCACATGCACTAAGATAAGCTAGCTTGATCTTTTTCAAGAAATCCTCTCAAACTTCGGCTCGAAAAAGAAAATCAAAAACTAAAGTAACCAACCGATATTTTCGTTTTAGTCTCCAGTGCTCCGTTAAGATGTCAATCTATAATCCTAACAAGCAATTATATGCAAGTAGCAAGACCTTAAACTCTGTTCTCTACATTCTAAATTTGCCTCTTTTGTACAATTGGCATATTGTTACCATGTTACTCGCAGAAAATGTAGAACAAATTTTAGATACTCTTTGTTTCTCTCTTGTATTTTGAGATGTCTTGTTTATTGTTTCTCTGTGATCATGAGTTAATTGTATTATCAATACAAATATAAAACATAAAACATAACTGTAACGTTAATATTTAATACATTCTTGTCATTTATGATTGGGAATTATTGACAACCTACTTTGATATTTGACTAAAAGAGCAAGGTTGTGCTATTTACCTTCTTATAATAATAATAAAAAAAGGGAAAATGACCTATTTCATCTCTCACATTTCACAAAAATATTCTTTTCGTCCCTTACTTTTAAAATGAAGCAATTTCGTCCCTGACATTTAAAAATTAAAACTATTATATCCTTGAACCCAATTTTCAATCTGAATCAAACCACCTGTCAACCTGATTACAAATTTTGGAGGTATAATTGGTAGATCACTTGGTTAACTCAACTTGAATATAACTCAACTTGAATTCCTACATTGTCATTGTATATACTTATTGTTTTATGTACCTACCATATCATTTCAATTTAAATTTAAACACCAAATTTTGTATTTATGATACACATTTAGACTCGCAAGCGAATATACTTACGATGCATGAAAAGATTTACCCAAAAGAAAAACCCGACTATTCCAAGATAAATAATGGCCTTTATGTTATAATGTTTATTTTTTTGGTTTGATAAATGTCATGTGAATATGATGAAATTGACCGAGTGACCTATCAATTCTATCTCCGAAATTTATTATTGGATTATTGGATGGTTTGATTCAAATTGAAAATTAGGTTCAGGGATGTAATAGCTTTAATTTTTAAATGTCAGGGATGAAATTGCTTCATTTTAAAAGTGAGGGATGAAAAGAATATTTTTGTGAAATGTGAGGGATGAAACAGGTCATTTTCCCATAAAAAAATACAACCGACACTTCCAATTTTATTTATTTGTTTATTTCTTTAATTTCCCTGCATAAAATATTAGACCATTCGTAAATTCTTGATTTCTAATAAAAAAAAAATTAGTGACTGTGTTAAGATACTAGAACTTTTGAGCCAGCTGAGCTAATCTATGACATATCAAACCAATCTTATAAAGAAATCATGTCAGTGTACCATTCTAATTCTATGTGAATTCAAATTTTACGTAACTTGTAACCATTCAAACAAAGAATTTGGAATTCCAAATGCATTCCTTATCAATTCTATGCTTTTTCCAAACAAAAGAATTGCAATGATTTGGAATTACAATTTATAGAATTCTGATTCTATAGAATTCCAATTCTATGGAACCAAACACACCCTTTAACTTTTTGGTATACATGAAGTCCATGTGGTATATCTTTCTAGCCTTTTACAACTATTCAGATATCATATAGAATGAGTTGGCGATCACCTCTATGCTATGTGTACATTCAAAATTCTCCTTTTCGCAACTCAAGCATTGCCGTATTTGGAATTGAGCCTCTACTAAGCAAATATGTATTGTGGGCACCGCTGGCACCTCCGCTCCCACCTTATTCAAAGACAAATGTCACATGTTGTACGTAAAAGTATGTAAAAGCATTATGTTTGATTCGTATTTCAAAATCAGAAGCAAAAGCTTAAACACCAATAATTCTCGTCATTCCTCTTACTTGTTTGGTTTGGTGTCGGAATAGGTTTCATTTACTAATAAGTTAATCAACTTAAAACCCAAGTCATAAGTGAGCAATGATATAGAGGACAAATTTTAAACTCTTTTATTCTCATTCAGTGATACTGATACACTCAATTATCAAACATCTTTCTAAGTTTCTCAAGCAAATTAAACATTCTGTACAATAAAAAACAACTATATGCACTTATACAGGTCTATACAAATATAAACTGCACACAATAACTGAAAAGATTTTCATGCTTCATAGAAAATGTTTGATCTCCTAACTGAAAAGAAGAGAAAAATTGTTTGTAGACAAGACAGCAGGCGCACCAGCATTTTCCACAAACTACTTGGGGTGGAGCTCGAAATTTCCAAGTAACTATCTACACCTATGTCATATAGTAGACTAACTACTAAAAAAAAAAAAGAAAGAAAGAAGAATATACATGGTGACAAATTTTACTATAAAAACTGAGGCTCTAGCGCCCAATGTATCACCAAATCTTGCATGCTTGAGCATTCCTTTAATTTGATTCATAACTCTGAGAAAATGCCTGGTGAAGAAGTGGTTTTCTTGGATGTCTATGCTAGCATGTTCTGCATGAGGGTCAAAATATATAGCACGGGCTAAGAAGGATATCAAGTATGATCTCAAAAGAAGAAGATTTGCCCAACAAAAGCTCTCTCCTCCTTGAGATCAAACCCATTCACAAAAAGTCCCAGTTTTGATTCACAATGGAAAACCAATAGTTGAGTCCCTTGTAATTTTCCAATACATATAGATGAGGTATGGCAGGATGAGACCCCATTGTTACCATCTGATCCTTGCAAGAAGGCTCAAGCAAGGTTTCGAGTTGACTTTATTGACAAAAATGTCCTGCCACTACTATACTTCTTTGCCATGTTTTGCCTTTCGGTTTCCCTTTTTCTTTTTCAGATAATGTCAGCCTGTCAATTATAGAAATATGGTCAGCATTTTTTTTTTTTTTTTGAGCAACGCTGAATCTTTATTGATCAGCAATGAACGTGTACGCAAAGGAATGTACTCATTCCAACTATGTAAGCAGCTAGCACTATAACTATTACACAAAATGATGCCACATTCATCAGTTAACCAGAATACTTATCGATTGAAACACACATTAGGTAGCCCCAGCTGGACAGCCAAGCCCCAGTTTTGCGTAGTTAAAGGCATGCGTCTCCAGCTCCCAACTATATCTTTCATAGAATCAAGGACAGCAGACAATCATGCTAACAGCAAATACCGAAACTTGCTGAAAAATAGCTTGGTTTCTTGCTCACCACAATTGATACACTACGCTAGCAAACTCCAAAAGCACAAGTCTCCTCACCTGGTCCGTAAAAGAGTTTGAGCTACAATGATCACACAACCATTTTCAACTGGGAAAATTTTACACCTTTTGCCATACTATGCTTGATACTGGGCAATAAAAAATTATATGGTCCATGGTTTCAACTTCTCCTTTACAAAGCTCACAGAGGTCATAAGCCGTAGGAATTCCCCAAGCCGTAAGTCTGTCTTTTCTGGACAGCTTCCTTTTGCATAATAGCCAAACCATAAAAGAGTAACGTGGAAATGCACCTTGTCCTCGCACAAGTTTAAACCAAGCCACCTTGTCCCCCTTGGTTCTAGTCACTGCCATGGCTGAATTAGTGGCAAACCAATCAGAGGCATGTGTAGTCCAGTATACTTCATCCTTGCTGCTTGGATTAGGAAGCAATGAGGGAGCTAGTTGACTTGTTGCGCTAGTCAGTATTTTTAGCTAGTACCTATGATTTTTTCCTCAATAAGAAAGGCTTTTAAGTTTCAATGAAACAGTTCCAGCAGGCTGATGTAATGCTAAAGCAGAGGTTGATATCTGCAACCTTATGTTGATCTTAACTGAAGCTGATATTTCTTTGAGATAGCAAGGTGGACAACCTGTAGAAATAGACGAGAGAAGGTTTTTACATTTTACCGACAAAAGATATGTGGACGTACCTTCTTTCTGTTGTTACATCCTTCTCTTATATCTCGGCCTTTAGGTGTAAGCAGTTGGTACCGTATGTCACTGTTTGGTCGGAATTTTTTGCCGTTCGAAACTTGCAAGACAATTATCAGTGATGGATGATAACAAGGGAAATCTGTCCTCTCTGTATCTTTTCTCATTCTCCAGCTGCGATTAATTATTCGTGCAAATCTCCAATTATAAATCCTTCCGTTTACCTGTAAATGTTCACTGGGGCTCAGCATCCTTCATTCAATTCGTTCAAGAGAGAGAGTGAACGAAAGTCAATATGGAGGCCAATCGGGCACCTTTTTCAACATAGAGACCAACTCCGAAATTTCTTATGGAGGAAATTTTCTACGTGATTGAATGGCAACATTTCTCGTATGATCGTCAAAGAAGGTTGAAAATGCTTTAAACTCAACTCTGAAGTCTTGCACAAGTTATAACTAGCCCAAAATAAATTCATCCAATAACACGAGATTAGGCAATAAGGTTCAATACACATACCATCTGTTACACACTTTGATTATTGTGTAATATGAAAAACCTCACGATGAATGCAAGTATAAGAAGAACCAGTTTGGATTGGAGTTTTAGAGTGAAGTTGTTAAAAATATATATAATGTAGTGATGTGAGTACAAAAAGATATTTGAAAAATGTGAAACATTTCAAAAAATTTTCTAAAAAATTCGCAATCCAAATGAGACAGACATAGTCTAAATTGGTTTAACAAACAACTGCAATCATTTGGCATCATAGGCACAAAGAAACCAAAGATTAATAAGCTACATAAGAATTTCATAATGAATTGTGTCCACAGCCAATAATTTCAAAATCATTGGATATCCTCTTCAAGAACTGTTCTAACCATAGTTATTAAACCCAACCCGGGAAGGAACCCGGCGAAGAAGGTGGGTCAACGGGTTACTGGTTGAACCGGTGGGTGAGTGGTTGAACCGGTGGGTCACTACATATATTTAAATATTATATTTCATAATTATTTATATATGATATATGATATAAATTGTAATAAATAATGCCATAACAAAAGCTCATTTAATTTAATTTGTTATAAAATAATTAATTCATATAAGAATCAATCAAATATAAAGTTATTTATTAATATACCAAACTTCAAGTGTAAAATTTTATCTATATTTAGTGTAATTATCTAGCTTATTTATGAATTTTAAGTGTAAAAAATTATTAAAAATAATATTTGTCTTTAAATGAATCATGTAATATGTTATTTTTGGAATCCATTTTATAACTTATAGAGTTTGGAGGGTAATAAATTTTTATTAAAAGATTCCAAATAAATTTGTTTTAGAGAAAAAAAGATAGAATTGAAAAACCATTTATATATCATAATAAAGCTACCATATCAACATATTTGGAAGTAGTTTGGTGGTAAGCAGGCGGTAGTGTTGGGGCAGAGGTCCGAAGTTCGAGTTCCAACAATAGCAATATAATTTTTCCACAAAATCCGCTTAGTGACAAAACCGGCCAAAACCGGCCGGGTTTCCGGTTTAATCCGGTTCGACCGCCGGGTCGTTGACTAAGTCAATGGTCTCTTTGCACAAACGATCTGATTCCAAACCCGGCCCGGTCTAATGACCGGTCCACCGGTTTGACCGGTTCGACCGCCGGGCCGGGCCGGGTTTAATAACTATGGTTCTAACTCCCTTGAAGTATTTCAAGAATGGATGGATGCAAATTGCAATGTGCAATACTGATCAAGTGGGATGTAGAAGAGGTTAGCATCAACTTTAAAAAAAAAGACAAAAATTCTATAAAATCGTAGAGAAAGAAAAAGAAAGGATGAAGGATTATGTTTCATAATTTCTCTTGAACATGATTTTGAAGGTCACTATGTCAATTGGATTACTAAATGGGAAACAGTCTTTGTACCGCCATATTTCCCTATCGAAATCCAGAGAAGAAAATACACTATTTTCTATTTTGACTTTGATAGGTGCGGCCTTTTAATATGGCCACGTATATACGATGGTCTCATAATAGTGCCATTTTAGTGTCCTATAGGAGAAAACTAATGGATCGAAACGGGATCCTTGTAGAACGAGTGAGATCCCTTTCAACCTTTTGATACATTCACATAGTTCTGGTTAGGGGTGTCAACAAATCGAATCGAGTTCGAATACTAGTTTGATCGAGTTCGAGTTCGACAAAGTACTTAAGGCTCGAGATCGATGAGTATTAGTTTTACATGCTCGAATTCGATTCGTAAGAAAATCGTGAGGTTCGAGCTCGCGTTCGAAATTGCTCAAATCGATTCGAGTTCGAGCTCGAGCCATTAAATATTGTGCTCGTTTAAAAATCCTGATTCTTAGTAAGCAGAATTTGCCCTTTCGACTAATCTTTTATCTACCATTTGCATTTGAAAATTCAAGAATTCCCACAGAAATCTACAAAATAAAAAATTGGAGATGTTTGGAACAACTTTTTCATCATATCTCGTGTTTTCCTTGGGCAGATGAAGTCAAGTAGAAACCCTCAGTCTCAATTGATTTTGGGCATTTTGGGTTGTGCAGAGTTTAGAATGCTTCAATGAGTAAATGGCTATACGAGTTGAGAACATTCACAGGAAAGTTTTAGGACAAGATTTTACTTGTTTAATGCCCCATTTTGTCAGTTCACCATGGTGGAATTTACAGGAACAACAACTGTCTCAGTTGCAAATTGCCCAAGTTTAATAAATTAAAGGACCTAACAACAATAAACTAACATAGCAGGGTCAAAATAAAAAAAAATGCAAGAAAATCTTGCCCAACCAGCTAGGGTCCACCTTTGAAGAAGAGATTAAGTAGATACATGCATCTTCCCAAGTTTCTGCGTCTTCTCTTTCCAATTTTTAATACAAAGAAAATCCACCAAAAGGCAAAAAATCAGTTACTCCCACCTCACAACAATTGCTAATAAAGTCACCCCTTTCATGCTCCTTGTGTCTGCAGAAAAATTTCTAGTATTTTTTTTTTAAAATCAGAATTATAGGAAGCATAAATATGGCTCCTTGTGTTTGCACCCGCAGTTGTCAAAGATTACTTCTTTTTGTAATTTTTCTTCTTCTTCGTCCTCAAACAGTGCAATATATAGCTGCCTTAAAACTATCAAACTTCCTTAAAACCTTCAAAAAGTGTTTCAGGTTTGTTATCCATCTTAACTGACCAAAGAAGGCTGATAAGCATTAGAAGCTGCACGGCTAATATCTTACCTTCTGCACGCGGCACGCCTGCACCTGCTTCCAAGATCCACCTTCCGCTAGCTGCACGGCAGCACAATCCACTTCCAATCGGTGGATGATGACAATAGACAAAAGAAATGGCTGGAGTTAGCAACCCAAATAGGTTTGATTTGGAATTGGGATTAGGGATTGAGGTGAGGAATTGGGATTAGGGAATAGGGACTGAGGTGAGGAAGCTGAAGCTCTTCAAGAAGACGGCGGAGTGCGGATAAGATTCTGAAGTTGCTTGACCTAATTAGACTAATATTTGAATTTCTTTTTTTTTTTAGAATTATCTGAAAAGACAATAATACCCCTATTATATTTTGAATTTTAATAGGTACAACATGTAATTAAACTTACAACTATATATATCTAAGTAATTTTATAAATATAAAATTATATATATTTAAATATACCTTAAGCTCGAAAAGCTCATGAGCTTATCGAGCATAATGTTTGTAGGCTCAAATTCGTTTCAATATTCGAATAGTTTGAGATCGACTCGAGTCGATCATTTGAACGAGCTGCTCGTGAACTATTCGCGAGTACCTCGATTCGTTGACACCCTTAGTTCTGGTCCTCATGATCGTGTTACTTTCATCTCTATAGAAGGGGTAGAGCTAGAGCTAAATGATGGCTTTTGAGCATATATAGAATTAATTTTTTACATGTTGACAGTGTAAATTTAAATTTAAATTTATATTATGTGGTACGATCAAGATCTTGTTAGTATAAAAATAAGGACAAAATACACTTTATGCTCCTGTAATTTAGTAATTTTTTACACAATCCTCTTATAGTTATAAAGTTCTATTTAACTCTCTCATAGTTTGGATTAAAATGTCAAAAAGACGGAAATGATCATTTGTAACGAAACCTATCAAAATATCGAAATTACCCTGATAGGTTGTCGAACCTGTGCAAGAATAAATATCTGTTCAAACAAAATATAATTTCTGTAAATAGTGATAAGTAGTGTCGAATCCACAGGGACTGGGGATATTTGTCTCTTTTGAAGTTCAAACTAACAATAGGGGGTTTTTATAGAAATTAACAATAAGTTATGCTAATCGAATAATGCAATTAAATAAAAATTAGATGGCAAATTGCAAAAACTCAAATAGTATTGGACAAGCTCTAGTCAAGAAGCAACTTCGGAAATGGTTCTTCTAATTGATCATCGATGCAAGAATAATTCCTTATATAAACTGATAAATAAGTTATAATTGTCAAACAAGCGATGACAATCAATTTCTCCTTAATTATCGATAGCTAAGGTACGACTGTTAGCTATTACCCTAATTACAAAATAACCCTAGATACGACTGTAGAATTCAATTTCGTAATTGCTTTAAAATTTAGAGAAATCCTGTTCTAACCAAACAACACGCTACGAGGGTTGTTTACAAATTAGCCAGTATATTTTCTAGACATAATCGAGGTTATGTTAGTTGCCACTAATTTAGAATAATTAAACAATTACGGATTTAAATACTCTAATTGATTTTAGATTATTGAATTAATCTAACATCCGGGCCCAGGATACTTGAATTATACAATAACCATAAGAAAATAAAGTAGGAAATATACGAATACCAGAAAATTATAGGAAAAAGTAAAATCAGTTAGATCTCACAATTTAAGTTGAACCAAGTCCTTCATATTGTTCCTTGGCTAGAAATAAAAGTTTAGTTCATCTCTATCGATGGGATCCTACACAAAATTGCCGAAGTAAATGTTGAAGGCATTTGTCCTCCAATTGAATATAATGAAAAAATGATGGAATAGTTCCCCAAAAACAATGAATAGTCAACCCCCCAGGAGAATTAGCTGACAAAGTCCAAAAACAAAAGAAAGAAAAATCAAAGTTGTCTGACCACCTCTTACTACCTAATTTTCCTTCCTATCCGGCTACTAAGAGGAATAAAAGGGAAGACTCCTAGTCTCTGTTAACCTCCCTCTATTTTTGAAAACAACCAAAAGAAGAAAAAGAAGAGTCCCCCAAAATTGCTCATCGTCTGCCGCAGTTGACCACTGGATAAGGAATACCATCTCCGTTTGGACTCTTGTTTCCTTTTACTACTCCAACTCTTCTGTTGACTATCATAAAAATTAATTTGACTAACCCGAAGGTGTACAACTTGACAAATTTGCACTTTGTTTATGATATTTTGTTCCAACTCCCTGCAATAAGTACAAATGCCAAAAATGAATAGAATCTGCTAATTAATACACATTCGGTAAGGTAATAGGAGGAAATTAATTATAAAATAAATGATAAAATTGTGACCTATCAATTCCCTTCACACCTAGACCATGCTTGTTCTCAAGCACGAGAATAGCAAACCAACATCAATTCCTGATAATGGCTATCACTCAATCTACCTTATTGCCAAGATACCGAGAAATACACATATCAAGCATCAATGGTCAAGATCCAAGAAACATCACCTCAGTTAGCTTCTAAACCACAGGCTCCTCCAATTTATGGTTAACTATTCTAAGAAAAAGGAATGGTCGATCAACATTTATCAGCAAACGGTCCAACTATTAACCAAAATCTCAACATTAGACGCATAGATCAACGGGCTAACTTTAATCACACATTTACACAACTTTCACATTTTTTTTTATATTTTTGACTAGATAGTAATAATAATAGACTTAGTCTCTAGCCATTAGAGCCTTTTGATGCGAACTCCAACATTGTCGGATGAAGGAGCCCAGTTACTCAGCTGCAATCGCTATAAGACCACGTACTCATAGAAATTACTATTTTTTGACGCAAGGATCGATATTTTTGGTGCAGACCCCTAGTTACTTAGCAGTAATAACTAGCGGAGTACAGCCAAATTTATTTACAACTAGGTAACAAAATAACTCAAGATATCACATAAAATAATAGCAGCTAGCCTCATTTCCTCATACATGGAGAACTAAGGTTAATAATTAGACCAATTTACAAGTCAAATGTCAAGCAGTTATTCTCTATGCTTAGAAAAGTTAATCAAAAATTGTAAGCATCACAAAAGCATCGATATTCACCAAAGAGATATTTCGGACTTAACCAAATTAACTTGATACACTTTCATTACTAAAATTTGACAATAGGAGAATTAGAGTTAGCCAACCATCATCAATCCTTGGCAGTCACAGAAATGCTGATTACTAATAAAAGTGAAAAGAAAAAAAAAAGAAAAGCAGAACAAATAACAAGAAATAAAGGAAACATATCTAAAAACTAAAAATACTAATTGTACCATAGCTCCCCCCACACCTAAATCCGACATTGTCCTCAATGGAGGTCATAAAGCAAATAGGACAATGAAACTTCCCAAAATACGTGGTGGAGGGTCCCGACTGGCTATGGAATAGGTGGGAACGGCGGAGTGAAGCCAACATGGTGGAAGTAGGCGGCCAAGTTCTGAGACTTCTGGGCCACCTAATCAGCAATATTCATCACCCGCTCGTCCATTTGATGAACATGTGCTCGTACATATCGCCACTTAGAATCGGAGGCCAGCGGTGGAGGAGGTACAGAAGAGGAAGGTCCGGTAGTGTCATTAGCAGATCTAGGAGCTGAAGAGGACCTTGGTCGTGTAGAAGGGCGGTGACCCGGTGCTCGAATAGGTCCCAGGAGTGTAAATCAGAGGGTACCATCAACCCGCTCTATAACTCCTATTTTTAATAGACAATCGTCATCCAGAAATTTCATGTCAAAAGCCAAATGGAGATTGTGGTTTTGGAGATTAAGAACCCCTAACTGGATTACCAGGTGTGTGATATACGACCTGAGTATCAAGACTTTGTTTTTCTTGGCTAAAACTGTCTTAAATTGAGATGCCAACCAACACCCCAAATTTATCTTAATATTATTCTTCATATACCAGATAAAGAAGAACTCAGGGCGAGAAAGTATTCCAGAGCTATCCTTGCGACCCGAGTAACTGTAGGCTAAGAAGCGCTGAATATATCGGGAATTGGGTTCCTTAAGATAAGAACTCTTGGATCTAGAAGAGTCATATCGGTCGCTTTCAACAGACATTTCTTTCCAAATATCGGGGTAGTGAGAGAAAAATTGTTCTATGTAGTCACAAGCACTCTTAGCGTACTTCCTAGTCTCAACATATTCCCGAGTAATGAATCCAAATGCCAAATTGAACTGAGTAATGGAGAAATGGAACTCTTGACCCATTAGTCAAAAGTGAATCACATTTGGAGTATCTATAGTATACCCTGTAGGCAGGTCAAACTAAAAAGTGGAGTAAAACTCTCTAACCAGTTCTGCAAAGGCGGGACAAAAAATATCAAGATAAGATCGCCAACCAATGGCGGTAAACATCCGTTCAACCTCTTCCCTTATACCCAATACATCCATGGTAAGCTTCTCATAACTTTTGCAGGGGATAATTTGCCGCTCACAACACATGGCATATCGCTGCTTATCGGTAGCCTTAGTGAAGTTTAAATGACCTCCAAAGTGTGTGGGTACATCCACGTGGACTCCTTTATCCCTACCGAGGCATTTTCGTACACCTGAAGAGGAAGGTTGGTTGGTAGGTTCATTCACAGGAATGGTAGGTTGGGGTGTAGAGGGTTGAGGTCTAGGTAGGGCTACTATCGAGCCAAGTCGAGCTCGAGTAACACTATACTCGAGCTCGAACTCGATCTCAAGCAGTATTACTCGAACTCGAGCTCGAGCTCGAACGAGTATATAAATTTAAGCTCGAGCTCGACTCGATAAAATGAAAACTAAACTCGAGCTCGACTCGTTTGAAATCGAGTAAATATCAAGCCTAAGCTACTCGAGATCGAGCTCGAGCTCGAGTTCCTATTTTCTCAAATTTCAAATTCCAGATTCATGTTAACAGGTTTGCCTTTCCAATATAAACCAGAATTCCAGATTTCCAGACTTCGAATATAAACCATGACTAACAAGTGTATATGATGAAACAGGTTTGCCTTTTCAAATTCATCTCAAAGTACAGATAATATCAGTTAACATCCTCACAAATAAAAGTTAACAAGATATCGAAATAGACTTGAACCACCACTGATCAGTTAACATCCCAAATTAGTGTCAAAAGTTTCGAGCATTACAAAATACAAAAGTAACAAGTCAGCTTGAACTACCACTGGTCAGTCCATCAAGATATCAAAAAATGAACAACACCGCAAGACAAGCACATAAGATTCCAGTATGCATCAAGATTCAAAAGGACAAGTGCAACCACAACTTGTTTAACAAAAGAAAGGTGCTAGTCTGCTTGGCATCCCAGTACGCATCAGAGGCCAACC